TTTAGCGAGTCAACTAACTTTTAAAGTGATTACAAAGGAGGGAAGATAGTATTTGTATTTATCCCAACATTTACTAATTCTTCTGGTATTTATTCCTCTTTATAGATAAAATTTTCAACCTTATGAAAAAAAAATTTAAATCAAATTTTCTTATTCTAGCTTAAGGTTTTGTTGTTTCTTTTATAAAACAGGGTATTATTTGAGGAGCTTTTTGTTTGTTTATTTGTTTGTTTTTGGTTAGTTTGGTTTTTCAAATTTCCCAGCTTTGCCTTTCTCAAAAAAAAAAAAATGGATTTTTTTGTGGTGTGTGTTAATTTTTGAAAAAATATTTTCATTGGATAAACAAAATTTCCTGCCCTGTTTTATAAATATGTTACTTCAATGTTTTTGACTTGCATAAACCGTGGTAAGAAGTCTGTTGTCATTATTAAATTTGCTCCTCTGTGTGTCTTCCTGTCCTTCCCCCCACTTTACATTCTCTTTATTTCTGGTTTTCAGAAATCTGGTTCTCATGCGTACTCTGCGTGTTGGGTGCTGTTCTTCCTGCCCACTCAAGACTCATGGAGCTCTTTGGTTCTGTGGCTGCAGTTTTTGTCAAACACGGGTGTGGTATTTAAGCTTGATACTTCTAAGTGCTTTTCCTGTTTCCCTCCTCCTTCCGATTCCCTAAATGCTCATCATTGAGGGTCAGTCCAGCATCCCCCCTGAGCTACCCCTGTGGAACCCTGGGGGCTGGAAAGGAAGGTAGACTTGCAGCCCGTGCCGTCTTCTGGGCGGGGATTAATCAAGCTGATCCGGGAGTCTCGTGTTGCTGGCCAGCTTCCAGGAAGCTGTAGCCATGGAGTAAAATCTTAGAAAGTTTACAGGTGTTTGACAGTGGGCTCCACACCATCCCTCACACCACACAGTCTAGGCCAGGCATGATCCTTCTGTCCCCAGGAACAGAGATTCCCTTGTGTATGGACCTGAGTCCTGACCCCAACTAATGAGATATGAGAGGAAGTTAGTGTGGTGCCGCTTCTGGACCAACCTCCAGTGTTCTAAGGAGGAAGAAGAGGGGAAAAGAGAAGGAGGAGGAGGTCAAGGAGGAGGAAGGAGGGACCCAGGGTGGAAAGAAATTGGAGGCAGTATAGGTTCTAGACCTGTTTTTTTTTTCTCTTGAGCATTTGGCAGAGTAGACACTTGTTATTGGTTCAAAGATCAGAAAAAAAGATCTTACAAATAGGAGAGCAAATGTAAGGAGAGAATGTGGGTCCTTGATGGCATGATTGAGTTACTACCTCAACTCACTCTAGGAGATTCTAATGTCTAGACTTTGCTTTGCTCAAAATAAACTTCGTTATTGTTTTTACCACTTTGCGTCAGCATTTCTGTTACACGAAGCCACCATCAACCTACAGGAAAAGAGAGGCCGAGACAGATACAGAGAATCCATAAGAGAAACAGAAAGGGGAAAATATGAGAAAGGGGAAAAAAGAAGAAAGAAAGAAAATAGAGAAGGAAAGAGAATCTGAAAGATAGATTCAGAAGCAGCATTCTCAGAGCCTGATAGGGGCCCAAGATCTCTTCCACACTCAAAGGTGGTAAAGACCAGCTGGACAGAGGAGGAGTCAGTGCTGAAGATGAGGTTGAGGGCTAGGAAGACATGGTCACCAAAGCCCTCTGTTACCCTGAGGAGTTGGAACGGCTTCTCCGTGCCCGTGACCTTTCACAGTCCTTTACATTCATGCTTCTTGTTTACTTATTTTATTGTTGTTGTTGATGTTATTGTTAAGCAACCAAAGAGCCTGCAGAATGAGCTGTATTAGAAGGGGAGAGGGCTTTGGTTCCTTGTGACATAGAAGGCTGACACTGGGGGCAGGCCCCGAGATCAGCGGAGGCTGTGGACCAGGAGCCCCGGAGGCCACCAGTGCCAGCTCTGGCCTGGCTCACCTCCTCCACCACCCCTCATCCATCACTCCTCCCCTGGTCTCATCCCCACCCTTCCAGAGCTGGCTCTGGATATAATAATCTCCATGATATTGCGGGGAATAGGACTCTTCACTCTCAATTACTGTGACTGTCACCGTGCTTGACAGGTACTGAACTCCTTTTGATGGATAGACGGATGGATGGGGAGATGGATAGTTAGGAGAATAGAGCAATTATTGAAATCTCGAGGTTTAGAATCAGGCAAAATGGGTTCAGAATCCCTGCCCCACCACTGGCTAAATCAGTAATCATGGGCAGATGATAAAGATTCTCCATGGCACTGTCTTCTCATCAGAAAAGTAAAACTGACAGCTAGAGGAAGAATATTCAGTAAGGGTTCACTTTTCAGACATCCTTATGGGAGCCCATTAATAGGATATTGAAAGTCCTTCCTTCAAGATTCTTTTTGCAGTCCTGAAAGAGGAGCAGAGAGATGCCGAGGTCGGGTAGGAGAAAGGTAAATGATCACAGAGAATTCAAGCAGCAATTACATGATTTTATTTTATTTATTTATTTATTTTTGGTGGCAGGGATGGAACTTAGGGAACTCCACCACTGAGATATGTCTTCAGCCCTATTTCGTATTTTATTTAGAGACAGGGTCTCACTGAGTTGCTTAGCACCTCACTTTTTGTGAGGCTGGCTTTGAACTCACGATCCTCCTGCCTCAGCCTCCCAAACCGCTGGGATTACAGGCGTGCACCACCACACCCGGCAATCACATGATTCTTAAAGTTCTAACACCGAGATAAGTGGATGAGGCAACCGGCTTACAGGGGTCTTTGTGTATACCCAAAGGTAACTTGGGGAGGAGGAAAGGGAGATGCCTTTACTCCACTGTGTAGCCTTGAGAAAGTGAGTTTGAAGTGGCTTAATGCCCATGCTGATGTATTGATGGGAGGAGTCATTAGAAAGCAGTTAACCCTAAAGGCTCTGATTCCAAATTACTTGCAATCTCCCACCCCATGGGAGGAGCAGACTTCAAACATCAGTTTCTACGCAGGAAAACTGCCGCAGTCCAGCTGCAGCAAAATAACCTGGGGGCGGGGGGGGGGGTGACGAACAACTTGTGTACATTGATACAGCTGGAGTGGGAGCCGTTTATTGTAGGACAGGAGCGGTATTTATACATTCCACTCAGCTTATTTTAATTAACATAAACTAGATACAGCAGTCAACCAATGAGGAATCTCCACACCTAATGGCTCGCTGGCGTCACTTCTCAAACCACTCCCTCTGCAAAATGCCAGGCGCCATCCAGACTTGTTTACAGACTCCAACAGAAAACAGAACTCATACTAGATCTTTTTTAAAGCAAAGCTGCAATACAAGAACTAGTTGCCCACATGTTGCTGAGGTTGAGAAAGCAAAAAGGTGTCTTAATAGGATGGAGACGAGGAACTGCTGGAGGCCCCACCACCTGCGGGGCTCAGGGAGCAAAAGGAAGAGATGGTGCCCACTGAGCCCAGGTGGCTCTGCTCCACACGGCTGGCTCCCACCCTGGAACGGCCCTGGAGGGAGGAGGGCCCCCTCAGTGCTGGAACCAGCCAGGAGGATCCTGCTGAGGCTCTGAGAACGGGCGGCAGCCCTTTCCAGAGACAGCCAGAAGCAGAAACAGAAGCAAACCCAAGGCTTTCCTCCTCCTCGGACGGTGTGTGCTTGTTGGCAAAACTGAACCAGAAGCCAGACGGCAGGGAAGTTGGGGAGGTGTCATTGACCAGGCGTCCTCCTGGCTCAGATGCCCCTCCGTGCCCACCAAGGAGGGAAACCACCACCCTCTGGCAGCGAAGGAGCTGGAGCTTCCACATCACCTCATTGGATTTTCACAATGATCTTACATGTAAAAGGAAGGAGGCCAAGAGAGGCTAAATCCCTCGCTCACCGCCAGGGAACTGCCCGCCAGCGGGAGAATTCCTTGTGATTCTGTCTGAAGCCCGCGCCCCCCCACCCCCAAATTAAGGAGCCAAAGCTGCATCCAGAACCAAAGCTCAGACTTGTCTCCTCTCGGAAGCTGCTTCCAGCTTCCAGGGGACTCTGGTCCCTGCTGCTGCCTTTTAATTAGGAATGTTCTGAGTGAGTTGGGAGCCACCAGCCTGGGGCAGGCCACCATGGCCTAGAGGAGCTGTGCTGTGAGAAAGGAGATTGGAAGTTGACAATGAGAGCGGCCCCCTCCTCCCCAGCCGCAGCTATGGAGCCTGAATAGCAGATCTTAAAAGCCTGTCAAGAAAATAATTGTTTAAAGGGGAAAAGGAAAATTAAAAGTGCGCTCCTCCTAAAAAAAAAAAAAAAAAAGACATAATTCAAGAAATAGTGATCTAAACTGGTCAGAAAAGACTCATAAATTCTATGGGAGCTTAGCTGGGAAGGTGCCCTTGAGTATGGGTGCCTTTCCTTGGATAGCAGCACCCTGAGCCTTGGGCAGTTAAGTTCATATCTGTATGTACAGATTTCATGCCCTTTTTAAGCTATCCCAGCTACTTGGGAGGCTGAGACAGGAGGATCATGAGTTTGAGGCCAGCCTTGGCAACTTGGTGAGACTCTGTTTAAATAAAATTTTTTTAAAGGGCTGAGGATGTAGCTCAGTGGTAAAGCACTTGCATAGCACGCAGGATGCCCTGGGTTCAATCCCTAGCACCACAAAACAAACAAACAAACAAACCATTTTGGGAATGGAAGAAGATAAAGAATCCAGTCTCTGGTGTTCAAAGCAAGAAGGAAAGTGGTCTCTGGGATTAGTTTCACATTGTCAGTTTCTATCACTGCAGAAAAGTGTCACACTTAGTAGCTTTTTTAAAAAAAAAAATTTATTGTTGGTTGTTCAAAACATTACATAGCTCTTGACATATCATATTTCACACTTTGATTCAAGTGGGTTATGAACTCCCATTTTTACCCCATATACAGATTGCAGAATCACATTGGTTACACATCCACTGTTTTACATATTGCCATACTAGTGTCTGGTTATTCTGCTGCCTTTCCTATGCTCTACTGTCCCCCTCCCCTCCCCTCCCCTCTTCTCTCTCTACCCCATCTACTGTAATTCAAAACAACACACGCTTCTTGTCTCAGTCTCTGTCCATCAGGCATGGTGTAGGGTCCTTTGCTCATGGTCTCACGAGGCTGCATTCAACACGCTGGGCAGAGCTGGGCTCTCATGTGAGGTCAAGGTTCTCTTTCAACGTCATGTTCTGGTTGACAACACTTCATTTCTTGCAGTTGTAGGATTCGTGGTACCTGCCTCTTCAAAGCTGGCCACAGACAGAGTGAGTGTGAACAAGGGAGAAAGAGAGATTGGCCTCGAGTCAGGCGCATGGTGCGCACCTGTAATTCCTAGTTACTTGGAGGCTGAGGCTGGAGGATCACAAGTTTGAGGTCAGCCTGGGCCTATTAGCAAGACCCTGTTACAACATAAAATAAGAAAGCTCTGTAGCTTGCCTAGCGTGTACCAGGCCCTGAGTTCAACCCGCAGGACAGAAAAAGAGAGAGACAGAGAAAGAGAGACAGAGAGGAGACCTGAGCAAGAGGAGACTTGAGACTTGAGCAAAATGAGTCTTAGGTGGAATAATGGTCACAGAGTGATGTCCCATTGCCTGTGACATGCCCATTGGTTAAAAGCAAGCAGCGAGACAGTTCCCCTTCACACTGAAGGGGAGGGGACCACACAAAGCAAGAACACTCAGAGGCGGGGGTCCTCGTGGCCCTTGGAGCCTCTGCAGAACCCAGCAGTGATAAGCTGCCGATAAGCGCCTCCCCTGCTGTCTTATTTCCTCTCTCCCCATCTTGTATCTACACCCCCGCTCCCTGGCCTTCCCTCCACCAACCCCACAGACCACCTGGCAGCTGTGATGTTTACACACACACACACACACACACACACACACACACCCCAGCATCCCGTTGGCTGGGGAAACAACCAGAAGTCTCTGCTCAGGGCCTTCCCGAGACGTTCAGGAGAGGAAACGGCCTTGGCAGGGGCTCTGTGTGCATCTCCAGCACCGCCCAGGGCCCCGTGAGGGCCTAGTGTGGGAATGGAGAGAGGAGGGGATTGGTGGGCAGTGGGGAGAGGCCATCTCTAAACCTGCTCCTGGTCTAATCTCTTATTGACCGAGAGACCTCACAGGGCGGTGTCTGGGAGGAATCGACACTGATCCCTTCCCAGCTCTCCCCTGGCTGCCCTTGCCCACCCTCCTCTGCTGGGCGCTCCACGAGGGGTGTGTCGGTCAGAGAGGATCCTGGGTAATCAATCACCTCCTCCCACCTTCAGAAATGTGTGGGCCCTGGTCCCTCCAACACCTTCTTAAATACTGCACCAAGTGAGACCCAGAGCGTCACAAATGAATCAGAAGAGGAAGAAGAACGGGGGAGGGGGCACTCAAATGGCGTGGGGCTCATCTCGGGAGGAAAGGAGAAAGGGCGAAGAGAGAAGAAAGGAGGAGGCCCCACTTTTTCTTTTAAAATTTAATTCTGCTTCTGTAAACGGGGGCCAGGCAAGACCCTCAGGAACCCGCACCCTTGAAGTGTTGAATGAAGCCTCCTAAAAGGTGAGCTGAAAGGAGCCTAGTCCAAGGTCAGGTCCCGCTGATTGGCCGAAAGCCTGGCCCTCGGGTCCATCTTGCCCGGCACCCACCCAGAAGAATGCGGAGGAGAAGTTCTGGAAATGTCCGTTGGTCCCAGCAGTCCGTCTTGTCCTCTGTGCCAAGGCTTGGTCAAGTCATTCCCCCTCCTACCCCCCAAGGCTGTCACCTCCCCATGCTTGTTCACAGGACCATCGACCCACCCGTTTCTCACCTGCGGATTGAACGTTGCCTGCGCCGCGACGGGCACTGATAGCAAACAGCCTGATAATCATGAATAAGATGTCAGGGTGGCTTCTCCCCCAGGATCCGCGCACTTGGGCAGAAATTCACAACGCCTAGGAAGTGTCATAAGCGGGAGGTATTAAGTCAGGACCCATACCTGAGGCATTTGATCCCAGTTTATGAGATACAGCAAGCATTATAGAGCAGGTGGCAGCTAAGACATCTAGAGAGACCAGAGAAGGCTTGGAAGGAGGTATTCCATTTACAAGAAGAGCTCTGATGGAGACCCAGATGTCAGAGTAGACCCTTTGAGGATATGCACATGGCTCAGAAGGACAAGAGTGGGGACAAGGTACAAGTTACCAAGCATAAAAGGGACAGGGGGGTCTAATGACACGAGTCTAGAGGAATAAGCATGTTTGGACTATGGTTGGTGCTATGTGTGGTGGCGTCCCCCAAAAGCTCAAACGGGAGACAGTGTCAGAATGTCCAGAGGTGAAAGGATGACATTAAGAGAGCTATAACTGAACTGTGGATTAATCCACTTGAAGGGATTAATTGGGTGGTGACTGTAAGGCAGGTAGGGTGTAGGCTGGAGAAACAGGTCACTGGGGTGTTCCTATGGGGCTTCTACATTATCCCTGGTGAGCAAAGCCAGCTCTCTGCTTCCTGCTTGTCCTGAGCTGCTTCCGTGTGCCACACCCTTCTGCCAGGATGCTCTGCCCCACCTCAATCCCAGAGCTATGGAGTCCCGTGACTGCGAATGAACATCTGAAACCATGAGCTAAAATAAACTTTTCTTCCTCTAAGATTTTCTTGTTTGGGGTCTTTTGGTCACAGAAAACAAAACTGCCAACAGTTGGTTCTTTGTTTCGAGGATAATGGAGAAGTCTTAGAGGGATTTAGGCAGGAAAAATAGCATCCTTGCATTTATGCTTGAAAAGTTTTACCCCTGGCGTGGAGAAAAGATTAGAGGAGGTAGAACGGAAGGAAGCAAAACTACAGGGAGCCGAGACAATGGTGCAGGAGAGAGGTAAAGGCGACTGGAACGTGGGTAGGACTGGAGGTGATGGGAGGAGTAAGGAGATTCTGAAAACAAAAACGCCCCCGCAGGACGGAGTGGCCACCTGGACCTGGAAAGGGTCTGGTACGATTTACCTCCTGGAATCTTTGTTGTCGAACTGGGTGGATGCCGGCGCCATGCACTGGAGGAGGAGGAGGGAAGAGTTTGGAGAGAAGACAGATGCTGGGTTCAAATAAAGATGAGTTCCCTTATCTCAGGGACACCCCTACAGATGTGTCGGGAGAGGAGGAGGCACCAGCTTACGGGCAGCAAGTCCAGGGAACTCGGATCCTGCAGCCATGCTCTCCCCGGCTCACTCCTCCTCCTCCAGCTCAGATTTTTGACTCTCAGCCACAACCAGAAGTACGGACAGGGCTGAGCGCCACTAAAGCCGACTTTAAAAGCCTTTTTTTTTTTTTTTCGTGGGGAGGGGGAGTGGGCAGCTTCCTTCACATTAGGTTTGGGCAACAGAAAAGCTTTCTGCTGTTTCCACTGTGGATCCTAGAGCCAAAAATGTGTATTTGGGAAGCCGGCTATTTTTATACTGCCTGTATTTGCTGCAATTATTGCCTTTCAGCTTCCCTTGTGTTTAGTAAAAAATCTTTCTGAAAATACCAGGCTGTCTCCGTTGTGTTAAAGGGATGGAGGAAAAGGGAGGTTTGTCTAGCTTGGGTCCAACTGTTAAGATGGAAGCTATGGCCGTTGGGGGCCTGGCCCTCTGCTACCAGAGGTGCTACAGTTCAGATGCGTTTTCCCCAGGGCCTGGGTGTTAATGGCTTGGCGCCCAGCCATGGCCCTGTGGGGAGGTGTTGGAAATTTTAAGAGGTGGGACTTAGTGGGAGGATTTGGGTCATTAGGGGGCACTCCCTTGAAGGAGATTGTGGTACCCCAGGCTCGATCCCTTTCTCTCACATGCCAGCAATCAGTCGAAGAGTTTTTCTCTGGCACACACTTTCACCACCATGTAACACCATGGGCCCAAAGCAATGAGGCCAACTGGTCAGAGTCTGCAAGCTTTAAAACTGTGAGCCATGGTAAACCTTTCCTCTTTGTAAGTGGATTTCTATCAGGTATTTGTTACAGTAATGTAAAGCTAACTCGCACAGGAGGAATCTGATGGAAAGAGGCCCAAGCTGAAAGTAAAGCTGGGGAATGAAGCTGGGGGCCACGTGTACAAGTGCTTATGCCTCCCTGAATACAGGCTTCCAACTAGCTCTCTGCTCTCAGTCGCTCTACGCTAATAAAGGATGTAATGGGGTGTTATCAAAAGACAAAGGTGTTGGAGTCAGGTAGAAGTTCACCGAGGCCCTAACACTCTTGCTTCACCAGCAGAGAGGACTTGAGAAAGTTACTTGTCTGTTCTGAGCGTCTGTGTTCTCGGAGGCAGATGGAAAGAGTGGTCACCGACACTGCAGTGTCCTTAGACCCAAGTCTGTGGAACTTGAGTCGGGGAGGAGGCCCTCGGTGGACGAGGCTGTTGTCATTACTGGCCCCTGTGTGCCCACGAGTCATGACAGTATCTGAGGATTGGAATTTAGACATCAAGGATGAACTTAAAGTTTCACAGTCAAGTGAACTAAAAGGCCAAAGTCATGGGAGGGGGCGGGGGACAAACCCGGGCCATGGGTTCAAAGCCAACAACGTTCAGAAGCAGAAGGTCTATTTAAAAAAGAAGAAAATGAATAAATAAGAAGCCCCAGCCTTTGAAAAATTCTAACCTGAGAGCATGTCCTGCCCCAGCCCGGGCTTCTCATGCTGTTCTTGCTGGGACAGAGATCTGGAGGGCTCTGTTCCCTGGGGTCTGAGCTGGCCCGGTGGTCAGAGGGAGCCGGTGGCTGGACCTGAGGTGGGGACCTCGATGTGCTCAGGGTGTGCTGGGAGCGGTTCAGGCTGAGCCCCATGGCTTGCCGGCGACTCTGAGGGCACCTCCTTCCGTCTGTTCTTTTCCTCAATCCCTAAGAAACAGAGCAGGCTAAAACCCCCGCTGCATGTCCCGGGAGCACCTGTCAAAGACAGGGCGAGGGACTGCAGAGAGAGTGGCCTCCACCCCACTTGTCCCTCACACCAGGACTGTTCCTCTTCCCTCAGCCACCCACCCACCCACGGGAGGAGGGGATGGACCGCAGTCACCTCCGGGTCACAGCTGCAGGGATGGCGGATGGCTAGGGGGTAGGGCTCTCTGGCACAGATTCCCCGTCTTGGGTAGATATTTACCCGGCCAGAGCTGGAAGGATGACCGAGGTCCTCCAACACAGGGGTCGCAAACTCAAGTGCCCATCACAACAGGAGCTTGATGCAAAGCACCTGATTGACCAATGTGAGCAGTCGGCCTTAGGTCAAGGCAGAGTACAAAGCAACTAGAACCAGGAGAGCTGGGGTGGGTGGAGAAGCAGCCCCAGGCCACTGCCATCCCTACAGGGAGCCAACTCTGATAGCTGCCATACTTCTGACTCTAGCTAGGGCCCCAGCAAGCCAGTGTGAGTCAGATTTCCCATCCCTTGACTCAGCAGAGCTTCTTCCTAATTTTCTAAGAAGTCCCTACTGCTATCCTTCCACTAGGGGCCCAAACAATGAGGAAGTCCTTCCTCATGGCCCAATCTTCTCTGCACTGTTTGGAAGGCTGACTACCCTTTGACCTTGGGATAATTACTTAGCCTCCTTGTGTCTCAGGTTCTTTATCAGTCTTAGGACACAATGCCCTTGGCCTAGGAGATAAGTACTCCGCAGACTTGATGGTTGGGGATGTTATTGTAGGAAGCATTAGTAGGAGCAATAGTGGTGTTGGTACGGGGTGCTTGATTTTATTTGGAAATTGATGGGCCATGGGGTGTCCAGAGTATACGGTGTTTCTCAGTGTGTCAGAGGGAGTTTCCGATGAGATCAGCTCTGAATCAGTGAACTCTGTACCACACGTGGCCTCCCCTGTGGGTGGGTGTGACAAAATCCCTCCAAGGCCTGAATACAACCCGAGGGAGGAGGAGGAACTGGCCCATTTTTCCTGTCTTACTACTTAAGCTGGGACATCTGCCTCACCTTCTGTGCACCCAGGTGTAGGAGAGCAGCCACCTGGTTCTCAGGCCTTTGCATTCAGACTGAATTATAGCAACAAGTTTCCTGGGTCTTCAGCCTACTGATGGCAGATCCTGGGGCTTCTCAGTATCTGTGACCAGGTGGCACAATGCCAAAAAGAAACCGCCCCTGTCTCTTTACCTATATAGACATGGACATGCATGTGCACTTATAATAAGTAGGTGAATAGGTGATAGATGGATCCGCATAGTTGGCCTCTGTATCCTGGGGTTCCACACTGTGGATTTAATCAACCATGAATCAGAAATACTTGGAAGAGGAAAAAAAAATGCATCCGTACTGAACATGTAGAGATAGCTGCTGGTCATTATTTCCCGATCACCACAGTTTAACGACTATTTACACAGTATTTCCATGGTACTAGGTATTACACGTAATGATTTGAAGGATACATAAGGATGTCTTAGGTTATATACAAATATTATCTATGCCGTTTTAGAGAAGCGACTGAGCATCTGGGGATTTCAGTCTCTGTGGGGAATCCTGGAACCAATCTTCCCATGGACACCAGGAGAAGACTATCTATCTTACTGGTTTTGTTTCTCTAAAGAACCCTGACTAATACAGTAGTATTACCCCAAATCCAATTCTGGAAAAACTCTTCCAAATCTGCCCGGCTTCCCAGCCACCGTTCTTATTCAATACCATTCGTTCTCTTCTTTGTGGCCTGGAGCGAGTTCCTGGGTGAGATCAGTTGCCCTCTTACCTGTTCTCATAGAAGCCTACAGAAGAGCACAAGGTCGAATAGGGCCCTGGGAGGACAGGCCTAGCTAGATGTCTGTCAAAAGCAGTGTGTCATGGTCACAGTGACAAGGGGTGACGACAGACCGAGTTGAGTTATCAGAGGAGCTGGCCGAGAACAGAACTGAATAGGCAAGTTCAAAGCAAACCTGTGACATGGTTGTGTGGTTAGCAACCCAGGCAGACCAACGTCAACCAAGCCAGCCTAAAGAAACCGAGCCAGGTCAAAATCAGGGCAAAAAATAGGACAGAACTGGAGCAAGACAGGAGGAAAGAGAAGGAAAGAGAAGCTCTGGGGCTTCTCTGCCTGAGAGCTTTGGTGAACGGAACTGTTTCCTCGGGACACTGTCACCAAGGAGAATGGTATGTCCCAGCTCTACTTTCCTGGCCATCAGATATGTGTGGCACAGGGATGGAGGTGGCGGGGCTGGCTGAAACACCAGAGCAGACCAAGCTACAGAGCAAAGCTACAGAGCCATCAGTTGCTGCCAATCCCCGCGGGCTGCGGGCTTCTATAAAATGAAAGGCAGGCAGGCAGGCAGGAAGGGAGGGAGGAAATAACTTATCATGTGCCAACATCAGTCTCCAGTGCAATCCTGAGTTCTCCGTAGAACAAAGGAGCCCCCAGCCCACTGCTGATCTGCCCCGTCTCCTGCTCCCCAAGTCGTGCCAGGTGGACGGCACAATTCTCCAGGGAATGTCACCGGGCCCCCTGCCTCATGCAGTTTCTCTCTGATAACCCGCTCTTCCTTTCTGCCGTCTCCTTCCTGCGGCAGCAATCAGAGCCCCTCTCACCACAGAACTGCCAGCCTGTGCCGGCCTGGCCTGCTGCAGAATTAACTTGTCAGTTTGCCGGCCACAGGGACTGCGGGGTGTCAGCCTCAGGCAGCGGAAAGGCCAGGGGGAAAGAGGACGGCCCGCGGCGTCATTTCCCATCTGCAGCACCACGGTGAGCTCATTAAGGAGCGGGCAGGAAGGCGCTACGGCTGCGGACAGACACACGTACCAGGAGGATGGGGACCTGCTCTTGAGCTTAAAGTCGGGGGGGACTCGTGTTTGCAGGGCACTTTACACCTTCCGAGTCACCTCCTCACGTTCTCACGTGTGATGCAGCCGCAGGGAGCTGATTAGTTCCCCTTTCACAGAGTTAGTTGCTAGGCTTCAGAGAAATCCCCGAACTCGGAATCGGAAGCCCTGGGTGCAGCAACTCTGCTGCTGACCCTCGCGTGCACGGATGTCTGCAAACCCACTGCACTGTGCCAAGCCTCAGTTTTTCCCTCTCCCCAATCAACGCAAGAAGCCCAACGTTAAGAGCTGTTGATCAGATGAACGTGACTTTTAAATGCTTTATGTGTTATCATGATTCTGTGGGACACTGCCCCTCAGACTGGGGTCATGGAGTGTTGGTGACAGCACCAAGGCGGGAGGGCCCCCGGAGTCAGACGTCCTGAGTTCCAATCCCTGCTTCACTCCATCTCACTCTCTTGAGCTGGGGAAATGTGTTCATCATTTCATCTATAAAATAGAAAACAACGAAAACCATTCTGAGGATTCA